GGCACCCTGTGCGCGAGATAGACGTAGCCGTTGCAGGGCTCCCTCGACACCTTCATGTTGCGTCTGTTCACGAACCCCCCTTTTTGTGTTGGTGGTTCAGATCAATCCTGAGGCCTCCTGAAATCATACAAAAGCAGAGCCACGCCCCCTGCCCCACTAACACACAGGCCTTCCCAAGACTAGTTTCGTCCTGCGTGGCGTTTTTATTGAACTTCTGTAATTCCCTTGTGTAGTGAGGCGATTTGGCCGACTTCCGTCACTCTTGACTTGGAGTATCCATTGTTGAGGTTTGTACATTGTTTATCTGTTACTATTTTTTGCTTAATAGTACAGTACTGCCTCGATAGTTGTTATCATTGGGTTTGACGTACGCCTGACTGCCGGATACAGAGTCTGAGAAGTCTCTAAGACGAAACAACAACAGTACTACAGTACGGCTCAGATTTTGTGCAACATGCCGACATTTGCGAAAACTTTATGCTCACTCGCTAACCGGTATTGAGTAAGGTTATAATACTGATTACCGTGTCATTATCGAGCCGTTTCAGTCATGATAGGATACCACCTTTTTAAGGAGTTTCTGATTGCTAACAAAACCTATGTACTGTTAAAAATGGCCGCTTAAATAGTATGCATTTTTATCATTGATTTTGACTGCCTTTATAAATGCAAATATAGTTTATGGAAAACATGCACGAAAAAAGCCTTTCTTGTACTCCGTTAGTAGCAAATTACACCTTCTTTAAATTTCATACTTAAAAAAGGGTATCCTTCGGTTTTAGAAAGAGTTCTACTTATGAGATTTTTTTACGATTGTGAGGTGTTCATTCATAATACATAGCATTAGTTAATTTATTAATGTTGTCTTTAATGTATACAGCATAATGCACATCTATTACAACACGTCATGAAGACTATGTGACTTCTTCCTCAAACCGTAGGCAAAAACGTACTTTTCCTTAAACAGGATGTAGACAGCGCGCCGTTTGTAGACCTTGAATTCAGGTGTAACAGTCGTTAGGGTTTAAAATTATTCGACAATTTATAAACTGAAGAAGTGGATCCGACAAAGCAAAGGGAGACCGGAATGGCCATTTCT